GCAAGAGCGTCATTGCTGGCTATCCCGCGCAACGTTCTAACAAAATCTCTCCTCTCACTTCCAATCTCTCGAGTCTCAATCCCCCAAATTTCCCCATACTCTTGATTCTTCTCCAAAGTCGCTTCCTTTCCGATCCGGGTCTCTACAGAGTCTAAACTCTGATCCGACCCAATCACTAAATGGGCGAACCCAAGGTCACAACCGATGGCTGCACGAATTCCGGCGAATCGTCGAAGTTATCGCCGAAGCTTTTGGTTGCCGGTGATCGGAAATTACTTAAGGTGGAACTACGGCAAGGAGAGACGGCGCATATCTCATGGAAGAAGCTTATGAAAGAGGCTAGCAAAGGGATTGTCTCCTCCGCCGCGGCTCACGAACCGCCTCCTAATGCTAACCCTAATCTCGAGTCTCGTATTGCACCGGTGAGTTTTTAACTGTTACATGCATATACTCTGATATGTATTTGTACATATGCATTTGTCTATGCTCGTAATTTCTTTGTCTCTGTTGGACTAATCCTTTGTCTTGTATCCTTTTTTGGAGCTGAATTTGCTTTAGGGAAATTCTGGTTTATCCATGGAGAGCCTCACTGTTTTTACCGATAATCGGAGACTTTTTTGGGGGTTTATGGGGATTTCTGGGATTGATTGTTGGTGAAATGGATATGTGGGTAGGAGGAGTTGTGTTGTCCATTGCTCCTTGATATTGGGTTTGCAACTAGGGTTTCAATTAGCAAACTTTTGAAACTAACAAGAAAAAAATACAATTGATAGTGATTTGACTGTCGAGTATCGGTCAGTAATTTGAGTTGCGGTTGGATGTGTGATTTGGTTGCATTGCTAGTTACATTATTGCAGCTTCATTGGTACTAAGTGAATATGTCATCAGCTGTATTTGATCTAGAAAGGACTTTGATTCAGATAGTAGCCATAGATACTGTAGCTGTATGAGTGAAGATTATGATATACATTGAATTCAACTTCGCATCTTCTCGCGCAAAAGAATTGGCAAGCTTAAGGGCACAATGGTGATGGTTTTTCATTTGAAGGAAATAGAAGATGTTTGTGGCTTTATTGTATTTTTCATGTGCATATAATTTGGAGCAGATCAATTTCTAATGCTTTGACGATACACCCAATGCAGGGGCCGCCAGCTGAAGGTGAAGCGGCTGACCAACCTCATTCTAATCGTTTTAACGCAGTTATAGAGAAGATCGAGAGGCTCTACATGGTATATTTCCCTATTTTTCTCACCATTTTGTCTATTGATTGTTTGTACAAGTTTGATGAATGTTGATTTCTTATTCGGAACATTTTTCTTATTATGCATAAGCACCGTTTCTTCCACAATCTCTGAATAGCGTATACTTACTTCATAAAATAAATTGCAGGGGAAGGATAGTAGTGATGGGGAAGACTTAGATGGTTCTCCCGACGATGATGAGTATGACACTGAAGATTCATTTATCGATGACGCTGAATTGGTTAGAATAGTTATTCTTCATATGGGTTCTTTTTGTTTTCGTACTTTATCAAAGTGTATCTTGATAGCTGTGACATCATATTTTTGTTATTCATTGTAGGATGCGTATTTTGAAGTTGATAATTCGGCAATTAAACATGATGGATATTTTGTCAATAGAGGAAAATTAGAACGGATGTAAGTTTCTTGTCCTCTTTTTGTTATATGTTTCTACATCTACATAGCTGGTTTGTCATTTTTCATTTGGTAATGTGTTGTGGAGAATAGTCAGTGGGTAGGACTAGCAGGATAGGTATTTAAAAACAGACTTTGATATCACCTGTTTTTTCTCTCTAT